ATACCTATTTTAAAAACAAAATCATTCTAACATTACTAATATTTCTAGAATAACTATCACGCCTTACTCCATCAAATTCTTCATCTGGATTTCTTGCAATCAATTTCACGTAGTATGCATCTTCATGTGAAAGTGTGTGTACCGTTTCATTTGATGAAATCAGATCTCGTAGAATTTTCCATACCACGTTTTCTGTAACAAAATTTTGAAAAAATAGGAACTCAAGAAAAAAAAAAGCATAGTAGTTCTACATGGCCTCCAAAATATATGAAATAGGGGCAGAAATGAGATAAGATTTAATGCGGGGTGAGGAAATACAGCCTAAATGTTGGATTCAGTTAAAATAAAACTGATCACCCACTTAGGGAATCTGCCTTAAATTCATCTAGGTATATATCAGTGAATAAACAGCACTCACTACGTCTCAGCTGCATTTTCCAAGGTCTGTTTCTAATGTAATGCTCCGAGGATTTTTATCTGTGTGCTGTTATTATACTATCCACTGATTAATTCACTGTAACTTCTCATTTGCTAGTAGTTTTTGCAGTACACATAAAGCACGAAAACCAAGTAACTGACAACAAGCGCAAAGTTAAACACCACATTTCACATTATCTTGTATTTGGAATATCATTTTAAAAACTGTATGAAATAGCATACTCTTTTTATTGCTAGTGGGGTTGGCCTAAGTCCCTTGTACTGCGGCCACTAATGGCCTATTGTACCAGCCCCAGATGATAGGTGAGGTTGATTGTGAAGCAATTGGTGGATCGAAGATTGGCAGGGGATACCGAAGTACTCGGAGAAAACCTGCCCCAACGCCACTTTGTCCACCACAAATCCCACATTACCAGAGCCGCAATCGAAGACGGGCCGCCGCGGTGGGAAGCCAACGACTAACCGCTTCAGCTATGGTACGGCCCTACCGCATATGTTACTTCTGTGTCTTGCAGCGATTCTTATGCACAGCAATTTGATGTTTCAAAGGGAGTCTTTTTTTACTAAAATGGTTGCTGGATCTACACCTTGTAACAATGTAATACAACACACTATTATATTTTAGCAATTATCTATGTTACAGCTCAAACTTACACTGTTTAGATCGTTTAGATGAAGCTGACGCAATCAACGGCAAACTTCGGTCACTTTGTAAGATTTGAGGCTTTCACGGCGGTGACTATGAAGAAAGCAGTCTTCTGGGATTTGGCACCATGTATATGTGGTGTTAACCGACGTTTCGGAGGAACGTATCGCCCCCATCTTCAGGGTAGAAGAAAAAGTATAAGAAATCTGCAAGCGACAACATCGTGAGAAACGGCAAAGCAGACTGTTTCTCACGGTGTTGTCGCTTGCAGATTTCTTATACTTTTTCTTCTACCCTGAAGATGGGGGCGATACGTTCCTCCGAAACGTCGGTTAACACCACATATACATGGTGCCAAATCCCAGAAGACTGCTTTCTTCATAGTCACCGCCGTGAAAGCCTCAAATCTTACAAAGTGACCGAAGTTTGCCGTTGATTGCGTCAGCTTCATCTAAACGATCTAAACAGTGTAAGTTTGAGCTGTAACATAGATAATTGCTAAAATATAATAGTGTGTTGTATTACATTGTTACAAGGTGTAGATCCAGCAACCATTTTAGTAAAAAAAGACTCCCTTTGAAACATCAAATTGCTGTGCATAAGAATCGCTGCAAGACACAGAAGTAACATATGCGGTAGGGCCGTACCATAGCTGAAGCGGTTAGTCGTTGGCTTCCCACCGCGGCGGCCCGTCTTCGATTGCGGCTCTGGTAATGTGGGATTTGTGGTGGACAAAGTGGCGTTGGGGCAGGTTTTCTCCGAGTACTTCGGTATCCCCTGCCAATCTTCGATCCACCAATTGCTTCACAATCAACCTCACCTATCATCTGGGGCTGGTACAATAGGCCATTAGTGGCCGCAGTACAAGGGACTTAGGCCAACCCCACTAGCAATAAAAAGAGTATGCTATTTCATACAGTTTTTAAAATGATATTCCAAATACAAGATAATGTGAAATGTGGTGTTTAACTTTGCGCTTGTTGTCAGTTACTTGGTTTTCGTGCTTTATGTGTACTGCAAAAACTACTAGCAAATGAGAAGTTACAAAGAATTAATCAGTGGATAGTATAATAACAGCACACAGATAAAAATCCTCGGAGTATTACATTAGAAACAGACCTTGGAAAATGCAGCTGAGACGTAGTGAGTGCTGTTTATTCACTGATATATACCTAGATGAATTTAAGGCAGATTCCCTAAGTGGGTGATCAGTTTTATTTTAACTGAATCCAACATTTAGGCTGTATTTCCTCACCCCGCATTAAATCTTATCTCATTTCTGCCCCTATTTCATATATTTTGGAGGCCATGTAGAACTACTATGCTTTTTTTTTTCTTGAGTTCCTATTTTTTCAAAATTTTGTTACAGAAAACGTGGTATGGAAAATTCTACGAGATCTGATTTCATCAAATGAAACGGTACACACACTTTCACATGAAGATGCATACTACGTGAAATTGAT